AATGGGTTATTGAAGTGTAGCATCACAGTTTAGACTTAGTCTGGTCTAGGATTTCAGAAATGAGAAGTCTCAGTTATATAAATTTATCGCTGTGTGGGAGAGTGAGGTGGGCCAATCCCACTTTTGCCCACTGACTCATAAAACTGTTCATTTTAGCCAGGAGATCTGTACTTATCTGAAGCTGATTCTGTGACAACACATTAATTTAGGAGGACAGCACCCTAACCTACAAGATGTTTCCCCCTCATATATTTACTAAGTTATGCAATCATCATATCATATAGAATATGTAGTAAAAGGTAGACTTATGTCCATTAGTTCATTGTTGTACCTTATTTATCTTAAAATGATCCCTTCAGCTCTATGTAATTTTCTTGGGCTGCTCTGAGGGTAATAAGTAAGGCTTCTTGAGTGTACTTGAAAGGTGTTCCAGAGTCCTAAAGACAGGGATGGCTATTTAATACTCAGCTATGTAGACTGTAAAATATTGATGTATAAAGATTGGAACTATCTCTATCATAATCCTTTTGATCATGTAATTGCATAAATAGAATTAGCCAACATAAGAATTTACATAAAACTTTCAAAAATGTATATTTATTTATTAAATTTTTGTGGAGTTCATACAAAACATCTTATCTTTATGCTCTCTTCCACATCTGCACCCTCCCCCACATCTTCCCCACCATATTTCATGGATCCTGTTACGGCTTAGATAGAGTCAAATCAGTGTACTCAGACTTCCATCAGTTCAAGTTCATCCACTGGGGTCTAGTTAGCCTATCTAGAGTCTCTCCCTTTAAGAAGATGAATTAACTCTCCCTTGCCCAGCAATAATCAGCTGCCAAAAGTTCTTCAATTAAGGTTGGAGCCTGCTGTCCATTTCCCTAGTTCTAGGCTGGATTTTTGTCTGATTGAGTTTGCATAGGTCTTGGCACCCTGTCACCATTGCTGTAAGTTCATATGAGCAAATTACCAGGCACCTGTGAGATTCTGTTTCCTTATGGTCTTGCACCTCCTCCCTTGGCTATTAGAATCTTTCAGACTCCTCTTCTGAAACAGTCACGGAGCCTGCCCTGGGTGAAATTTAATATAGGTGACTTGCCAAGAGACCCACACCCTGCAGACTCTTATTCTCTACACTTGGGGCAGTTGTGACCTTTTAAGGCAGAAGTCCAGCAGAAGCCGTTCTTCTTAGAATTTACACTTTGGGTCATGATGTAGTGATGGAAAGAGACAAAGTTTCTCAGCAAATCTAGATTGCCCATGTTCTCTTGTGATTTGTATTCTATCCATTCCTGGGCTTGTTGACTGACAGTACATTCTCAGAGTGGTTGAAGGCAGGAGGGTTAGAAGATTCCAGGTGAAGTTGGAAAGAAGGTGCATTGTCTAGAAAATTTAAAACAGAAGTATCTGATGGAAAGTAAGTGTATTTTTGCTATCACCATGCTCCTGCAGTGCTATGCATGAATGCTCTTTTCCGTAAGTGAATTTGGTCCTCTTATTTTTTCTTGTTTTATTTCATTGGCTAGTAGTTCCAATACCATCAAATTTTAATGGGGATTAATAAGCATATTTGTTCATGAGTTTTAATTCTGGAAAATGTTTTTGATAAAAGGTCTCAATGGGAAGAAACTCATGTGTGGTATTGTAAAAACAGCCAAATACACATGATAGGAGAGGTCATAGACTTTAGAGAAAACCCTCTAGACAAATGCTATTTCTTAAAATGTGTTAAATATGGATCCTTCTATCTACAGATACATATGGCAGTCACCACTCATCAATGAAACTTCTTTTGCAACAGAGACTATCACAGAGTTCCACAACTGGTCACACACAGAGATTATCTGTGAGTTGCACAATCCCAAGTGACACATCTACAATGGAACCCCTACACCTAAGGCTTTGTACCCCAGAAACCACTCATTTCTCCAAAAAGCATGAGCTACGAGTGATTGCAGGACACCCTGGGAAGAAGGGTGGAACCTAGCTGTTAGCAGCGGTGAGACTGGAACTGGAAAAGGAAGTGTGCAACCACAGGGATGAATGGCGGAGGCGTCCTGCAGGTGTGGAAGTGAGAAAGGGACATTTACAGATCTGGGGTGAAACCATGTACCCACGGGGCATGGGTGAAAGCTAATGGGGACTGTGGGTGGGGCAGAACAAGAGGCGCAGTGCCGCACGGTTTCTTTGTAAGTCCTCCCTCCCTATCATATAAACCATGCGAAACCCAAGATAAAAATGTGTTATGTTGGTTTGTCCATCCATGTCCAGAGCTGGAGACCCTGAGAGAGTGAGGGCAGGTCAAACAGAGAGTGGGAAGGGGAAATTTTAGTGGCACAGGCTCACAGAACATAGTGGGTGGAAAGAATACTAACGCATCTCTCAATTCTCATCAACAAAGATCCCTCATGCAACAGAGGACCATGAACTCAAAAGGACACAAATGGCCAAAGCATAGAGAATGAATTTACAGAGTGTGGGTCCTTGGATAGGACTCTTGTTGTGCCATAATCATATTTCATTCACCCAGGGCTCAAGGAACTGTGGAAGAGGAGGCAGAAATATTGGCAGAGTCAGGGGAGGAGGTTCATAACCATATGGAAACAGAATCTTACAGGCTCCTGAGACCTGGCTCAGATGAACCTACAACAATGGTGGTAGCATGCACAAGACCCATGCAGACTCAGTCAGACAAAAACCCAGCAAAGAACTGTGGAAATGGGCAGCAGATCCCAATCTTAGCTGAAGAACCATTGGCGACTGATTACTGCTGTGTGAGGAAGAGCTGATCTTCTTAAATGGAAGAACTCCAGATAGGCTGGCTAGACCTCAGTGGATGAACTTGCATGGGAGGATGTTGATACTAACTTGACTTGACAGGCCTTAACATAAATGACAGACTGCATGAAATTCAGTGTTGGGGGCTATAGGAGGGTACCAGTGGGGAAGAAGGTATAAAGATGAGTAAGATTAAGATGTTCTGTATGAAATACACAAAAAATTCAATACAAAATTCACAAAAAGCCTTCCTAACTTAAAAAAGAACTCAGGCTGTGAGGGATCCATTGCTGAATTCCACTAGATCTTTAAAGAAGAAATAGCATCAATGCTTCTCAAACTATTCTATATAATAGAAAGGCAAGGGCCAATACCAACTTATTTTATGATGCTATTAATGCTATAATATAAAAATGTGTATAGGGACACAGCCAAAACAATGTCTCATATATGGTTACTACATTTATAGAGAAGCATAAAATCATGTATGTACATATGACATAAAAGTAGAAAGAAAACATCTAGGAACAAAGAAAACTAATGGCAGGCAGGAGGGGAAGAAGGGAAAGGATGGGGTTGTGGAAGGGAATACGCTCCATGTACAATCTGTATGATATTCTTACATAACAAAATGCCATGTTCAGCGAATATATACAGTTAAAGAAAAAATGCACTCCCAGTCCTGAGGTTTGACTAGCATGAGAGAAACCCTGAATTTAAAACCACAACCCCAACAGCACAACAAACAAAATTGGATCCTATTGCAAACACAAACTTGAATATTTTTTCTATGAAACAAGCCTAGAGTTTATTCAGAAAACATTTTTAGCATTGATTTTAGCATAGAAATTAGGCAACTGGGACAGAGACATGTCATAGAATGACCATAGTATGTACCCTAGAGTTGGTATGGGCTTCTCAAAAGAGTCACTTTGGTGTAGATATAATTACACACATTGCCATTAATTACTAAATATTATGTAAACAAGATTCATGTTCTCTTATATTTATGTATCCAATATACATGGAATTAGATTATCACTTTTTCATTTTATGAATTTAAGAAATAGCATTATAGTTTTAGTCTTGTTCATTTGCTGATGTGATGTTTTGTGCATACAACAGTAAACTGTGGACCCAAGGATAGAAATTTCTTTTTGGTGTATTTATTCATAAGATCATTCCAAGGTCATATCAGTTCTCAGGTTCATTTAATATGCACAGTCAGATACTCTTTCTCTCTTACCAGAGAGATTAACTAAATTTTGCTTCATGCTCCCTGCCTAGCATGCTCCTATAACTGCTGCAGGGACAGGTAATTCCTGGCAGCAATGGTCCCTGGAGCCCACTCCTGGGTTCTTCTATATGAGAAGTTGAGTAGATAGTGCTTGATTGGAGCCAGTTACTTTTAGTTGTCTGGAACTGGGTCACAGCTATGTGATACTGCAGCCATATCCTCCAGCAGGACTTGCTGAAGCAGGTAGACTATCAGTGCCCTGTGCTAAGTGGATCCACAAACAGCAACCATTACAAAGGTATAGAGGTGAAGAGAAAGGCAGGAGAGCACACAGTAATGTGGGAGTAGACAGCCCAAGGGGTTCATGCATGAGGTGCTGGCAGTAACAACAGGAAGTTCTAGATACCCTAGCAAGGTCAGCACACAGTGGCCATCAAGTCAATGGAAATGAATCCCTGTCCTCTTCCTGGCATGGTATAAAAAAAGAAAATGAAAGAAATCTATTGAGATGAAGAACTGAAAGATATTGTTGAATTATATGAATTGTTTTTTTTACAATGTTGGTTTTTAACATAATGAAAAATATTTCATATATTGAGGAAAAGGTATGTCTTTATGAGTTTTCCTTAACAAAGACACCTTTTCACAGGATAAGTGACAGCATTGCCCCCTCAGGAGGCAGCATGTGGAAAACCACCCAGCTCTCATCAGGCAGGTATCCCAGGTCTCTGCAAGACTAGCTGCCATAGGCGAGCTTAGCAAACTTAAACTTGAGAACATTTATATTGTAAACTATGTAGAAACTTTTGAATCGTATTCATATCAATTCAGGAAAATGAGTACGGATGTAGACATGGAGCAATAGGGGAAAAACAAGCAAGGAGAAAGAGGGAAAATAAATATTTTAATTCTGTTCTTCTTTAGAAGTGGATTGACTTAAGTGACTGACACTTTCCTCAGCATCGCCTGACCTTAGTCATCAGCTGGTGTCTGAGGCTGCTTTATGGAAGATGGCGTTCCTCAGAGCTCCTTTAACATCCTTGTTCCTAAGTGTGTAAATCAAAGGGTTGAGTAAAGGGGTACCAAAAGTGTAGACCAGGGCGATTTGGCGGTCCTCATCCTCCGAGGTGCTGGAGCGAGGCCTCAGGTACACAAGGCTGCAGCAGCCGTACTGCAGCAGGACCACGGTGAGGTGGGAGGAGCAGGTGGAGAAGGCCCTCTGGCGGCCCTCAGCAGAGCGCATGCGCAAAATGTTGGCTGTAATAAACATGTAAGAAATGCAGATCAGCAGGAAGGGGACAGTCAGCACCAAGATGCCTGCAAAATAGAGGATTGCCTCATGCATACTGATGTCCGCACAGGCCAGGCGCATTATGGGAGCAACATCGCAGAGGAAGTGGTTGATTTCCAGGCGATGACCGCAGAAGGACAATGTGAAGGTAAAGGTGGTCAGCTGCAGGGAGAGGAAGAGTGCCAGGCCTACCGAGCCCAGCACCATCTGGACGCACAGCTTCTGGGTCATGATGAGGTTGTAGTGCAGTGGATGGCAGATGGCCACGTATCGGTCATAGGCCATGACAGTCAACAGAAAGCAATCAATGCTGCCAAAGGTAGAAAAGAAGAACATTTGTGTCCCACAGCCGGCCAGTGGAATGGGCTTCTGGCCCCCCAAAATGTTGGAAAGCATCAAGGGTACCACGTCCGTGGTGTAGCAGATCTCCATGAAGGACAGATTACACAGGAAGAAATACATGGGCGTGCGAAGCGAGCTTTGTGTGCACACCATCCAGATGATGGCGGCGTTGCCAGCGAGGATCATAGAGTAGAGGAGGAGGAAGAGGAGGAAGAGGAGCACCTGGAATTCAGGGACAGTGGTGAACACGCGGAACACGAACTCAGGGGACCCAGATTGGTTGAGGGCAGGCTTCCTAGACACCATGTCTTCTGCAGAAAGGAGCTGGTGAGCCCTCATTAGCTGAGTCGCTTCAGGCCTACAGAAAAGCAGGGAGTTTAGATTTTGTGTGACCTATTTAGAATTGAGTTTTCAAACACAACGCTAAGGGATGATTAATAATAGAAGGGTCACATGAACATCTTTATTAATGGGGCACTGACCTATAGCAAATTCTCACAACAAACCTTGCAAATTCTCCTAGTGATACAATTTTTTCACTCTAGTATTTTTAATCTCACTGTCATAAATAGTTGTAGATATTTTATAAATAGATATATTTTGATTGCCTTACTGGGAAAACATTCTCTTTTTTAGGCAGGGTCTCACTGTAGCTCCAGCTGGCCTGGAATTCACTATGTAGATCAGGCTGGCCTCTAACACACAGACATCTGCTTGCCTCTGCCTCCTGAGTACTGGGATTAAAGGCTTATGCCACTGTGCTCAGCATCTCAGGTAAACATTCTTATTGAA